ATTAGCAAATTTCTGATCAGCTGCTCTCTCCATCATTAATTCATTCGTCCTCCAGCACAGATGCAGGAGGTTGCCTTTAATCATCTGATGTCTCCCCTCGGTCACCACCCTGCCCGCTCCGGCCCCATGCTGGTTTCAGGCCCTGGCTGTGCCGTTTGCAGCAGGCCCACTGTACCACAGCAGTTAGGAAACAAAGAAATCCGAAGCCCTGAGGAGAGACATGAAAAAGCACCCATTTCACAAACCGCAGCGAGGTTTATTTAAAGCTTAGGAAAGTCTGGGCCCTGGAACATGTTCCCTTCCATCAATAACCACTGTTGAAAAACATTTGTTCTTAAAAAAATCATTTAAAATTTTACATAGGAAAATAGAGAGACATAAATCGCTACCGTCCTCTTTTTGTGATTTTGATTTATACTAGTTCACGTTAAGCTTCTTTTTGAAATGCAACACAAGACTTTTGACCTATACTTGAAATCCTCTTGCTTAAACAAGAATTTTGCCTAGATTTCCCTTTCAGTCGAATTCAATCTATTTAATTAATCTCACCAGCCACTTGGCATCCTCCTCCTCATTCCACTCGTCATTCAGGCGATACTGTTACCAGCCGTGAATTAGGGTTCCCCTCCTTTCTGTTGACAAAGCAAAGACCTCATTTTGTTATCAAGTTATAACAATAGCATTTCAGGTTTTTCAGGCATACAAAATTTAGTTTGGGTAAAATAAAACATGCTGTTTCCATGGTTAAGTGACGGTAATCCGACTTTAGGCCCTGCTGCTTTCTATTTGTTATCACTGCAGTGGACCATCTAATTATTTTATGGTTCGCAGTCAGGCTTGCTAGAATTGGATAAACTCAGATAATGTGTTTTTCTTTTACCACATAATCACTGTGTTGTCATATGCATCCAGGTAGTGGAGATACATCACCATAAATTAGGCCTATTTCTAAGATAACAATGTTACGATTTGGATAAAATCATTACATTACTCTATATTGCCCCTTCTCTGAGATCTATTCGTCTTTTGGACGAAAATATTTTCTACGAGTATAGCTTAGCTTTTTTATGAGTGTGTTTCCTCAACATATGTTCCTACAGTCTGTTTACCCTTCTCCACATCTGAAGCACTACAGATGATATCCTTGTCAGCATTCCAGCTGGGTGCACTCAAACACCACTCCTGCCCGCAGCATCAGCTTCCCCTGGCTTGTGTCTGCCGGGCAGATACTCATTCAGCACTCCCTGAATGCCCACTAAGATCCACTACGTGAGCTTTTCATGGCTTATTGTTCCAAAGTGTCCACATTAGGCCGAGTTAATTAGCCTTCATCACTGTGAAAGCTGAGCCGCGGCCTGAGCTGGTGCGGCTGCAGACAGCCCAGACGGAGCTCTGGCACCTCGTGCCGTGTATTACCTTAAATATTTTAGGAGAATTCATTGGAAAATCTCTGAGCTGGATGGCATTATACAAGCAGCTGGAACTCGAGAGGCACGCTTCAGGATGGCATCATTCAGCCCAAGTGGCTTCTGTGTCAGAGAGCATGATGGGACTTTAGCAGGCCACCTGTTTTTCGGGGGGTCGGGTTACGGCTGCGGGTTCTGGCTCAGCAGTGATGCACGTGGTCGGCCGCCCAGTGACAGGCAGCATCAAGAATTTCAAATCACCTTAGCCGGGGACGTTATGGCAGCAGGTCACTTTTGCTTTTTGATAGAGCTATTTAAACATCTGGCAACCGGAGGCTTGGAAGCGGAGTCAACTGTCACTCAGTGATCAAACCAAGCGATGACTGGGCCTCATTACCAAATGTGCACTCTGCTATGATTATAATGCAGGAAGTGGCTGCATCCTTGGTTTCGAATGGTTAGTTGTACTTAAGCAGGTAATTCAACTCTTGGGACTCAACACGAGCTGCTACCCGTGCCTCTTTAGTGTCCCAGCTGGCCTTTGTTTGGGATATTTCCGCCTGGTTAACTTCTGAGTCTTCAGTCAGAGGTGGCTGCCTTTGTCCTAAGCTAGTGACAGAGCTCCAGAGGATGGAGGGGACAAGGGGGAAGACTTTTGTTTAGACCATCTGTTGCTGCTGCTGAAACAATTCAGCGTGGCTTTATACCCTCTTGCCTAAGACTCTTTGGCCACGCACACGCTGACTGACAAGTGGACAAACATCTGATTTAGGGTCTGTCAGAGGCAAACTTTTCAGCTTAAATTATACTGGCAGATGGTTACGCTGACAAATCCTGGTGGTGAAGATTTGCTTAAACATGGCACACCCTCTATCCAATATCATGATTAACAGCAGAGTGTCTTCAGCCAGAGGCCTCTTCAGCTTTGCTACAATAAGCAGCGTACAAAAGGTCAATCCAGCCAACCGTAAAACCCTTACATAACGATTCTTTTAAAAAAACCATTGATTCTTATCCCTAAACAAAACAATGTCCCTCAGGGATTAATAAAATATTGCTAAATTGAGGTTAATATTCAATTTGAAAACTCCACCATAGCTATTGGTTTCATTGCTGGCATATTTGAATTGTCAATATATATATCTATATTTATTTTATTTATTTTTTGGGTGAATTTTCTGAATTCTTCTAGTCGTTTGTGACCATTGTTTTGGGTAAACAAGTTTCAGTAGTGGAGGAGTCTTTTGTTTATTTGATATAGGGCTCATATGTTTTGACTTCAGTGTTGCTTGAGATATGCTATCAGACTGGAGGGACAATTTCCCTGGGAGGAAATGTTGAACCGAAAGCTGTGTTCAGATGTGTTCTTACACAATGAACAACATCTTCATGCAGAATTGTGAAAACTACAAGGTTTTCCAGTAATTGCATGACGTATTTTTTTCCCTTTCCACTGCTTTCCATCGCTTGCCTGCTGTGTTTTTTTCATGGAACATCTTCATTTCCACCACTGGGGTCATGGGTACAATGAACCTGTACAAGATGAATAGCACAAGCAATTTTCTGCTGAATTTAGGCCCATCCTACAATTCATTCAGTTATATAACAGCAACTGAGCTTCTTAAAATCTTGACAGTAAACACCATTAATCTCCTCGCTGAACTCACGTGAAGCCGCTTTTCCCTCCAATCAGCTGTGCCTGTTAAGCTGGTACCAGGCAGTTACTGTTGGCCACTGGTATGGAAGTCACCACTGGTTTCGCATTAAGCGGAAACTGTTAATGTGCGGCCGCATGTTGCAGCGCACCTCTGTTATAAATCTGTCCTGATGTTTCTGTTTGTGTGTCTCTTTTCCAGACAATAGGAGGCGGGACATTATGAACTGCCCACACCCTTCCTCCTTCCCCTCTCACTCCACCTCAGCCTCTTCCTCATTTGCACGACCCCCTCTACCCCACTCCACATTGTCCCCTGCGGCCCGAGGGCCACATTTAGCTCTGCTCCATTAGCCGGCTGGAAGGGGGAAAAAAAACCTGACGGAAAAGGCCCTTTTTTTTTAAACAGTGGTTGGTTACACTCAGTGCTTCTTTGTCCAAGAAAGAAACCCAAACCACAAGCTAAAGAAAGAATTCAAGATCAGTCATCACTTCAAGCTGCAGAGCAAAGGGATTCGAAATTAAATAAATCTTTAGATGAATAATTCCCCCTCTGTGACTTAATTTCAACCGGTATAATTCTTAATTTAGTAAGTAGCATGCGTATTAAACAAGAGCATCTTGATCTTTCCTCTGACCCTGAAGGAAGACACTCCAGTGCTGCAGAGACGCGAGCGTGCACACGTGGCAGCCTGTTGTTAATAGTTAATGAGGATTGATGTCCCAAAGTGGCGACCTTGTATAAGGTTTCCTCGTGGAATCCATGCATATTGATCTTTTCAGTTTTATGCTCTGTTGGACACACAATTCCCTTTTGCTCCACGGCCACCTCGATAGAAGCACTTGTGATGATTAATGGTTGCACCGTTACAAGGTTTTTCTGATAGTGGGATATTGGTCTTCTGATAAAAACCTAGATTTGAGAATTTGTCATAAGACGGATATCCATTATGGAAATATACTTAAGCTCTTCGGCACAAGGGGGATTGTTTTGCCTCTTTTTGTACAATATTTAAAGTTATAACCAGACGGTTTTATGTTTTGTTCTTTAAAAATGAATCAAGTTCTGGAAAAATGGTTCTGGTGGATAGATGCACAGAAATCCAGGCTAACTTTATTCTGTCCTTTACTTCACTTTGCTTACATGTGTTACACCATCTCGTCTATTTTTATGTTTGATATATTTCAGCAAAATCAAAAGGTGCAAACTAAAAAATTATCCTTAAAAGAACAAATATTTTTTATCGTCATTTATTGTTGGCACATTTCAGTTATCCAAAATGGACAAACCCCTGTTTTAGTCAGGCTTTACAGGTATTCACTCTCATCCACTGCAGTCATTCAAATGGAGCTCCGTCTATAAATGGACCGGCACCACTGTAAGGAAGTGACGGCTCATCTGAGTAACAGCCTCAGATTCCTGTTTTTGCGCCTGGTAACTGAGCTGCTAACAAACATGTCTGGGAAGGTCAGTGACTCCAAATAGATACATAAACATAGAACCACTGGCTGGCCAGAACGACTGCATTGTGCTAGGGCTAATGTCCGTCTGGAAGAAAGCTCTTATCCCACTAATGGGGAACAGTGTATTGTGTTATTTTTCTTCTTAAAGGAAAGACACATTGGATTTTATTGATGGATTTACCATTGTGCTACAAGTTTACTCAGGGCCCATCATGTTCTCTTTTACTCCCTACAAGGCCCCCCAAAGACTGGAATCCACCCATCCATCCTGACTATGTATGAGTCTGAGTGCTGGTTCCCCCCTCTGCTATGCTCTGCTATGCCTTGAGCAAGCAAAGCAAACTTTTTCCTCACATTTTATCAAGAGAATAGTTTGAACTCGGGGCAGGACAACAAAACTCACAGTGTGGGTTTATAATGTAGATGTGCCACTCCTGCACAAATGCTAAGGATGTTGTGGGGTTGTGTTGTTGCAGGGAGCCCGTGTCTGGCTGAGACACAAAGAGCAGCTCCTCCCCTCCGCCGTCAGCGCCTGTGACCACTCGTCCCTGGTTCTCACCACCGACTACGGGAAGGTAAGAAGATTTGTTTTCCCCTTGTCCTTGAATCACTGTAGACTGAGGGGCTGCATCATGAAGCATTTTCCAGGATGGCATTACGAAGCTTTTCAGATTAAGATTTTAAGCCTAGATCAAAATTCTTAAAAAGGAAAGAAAAATGTCAACTGTCTTTTTAAAAAAATCTTTTATTTTTTTTATTTTTTCAAATCTGAAGTGGAATGACCCTTTGTGTGTGTGTGTGAGATGCCTAATTGTTTGCACACATGTGTTTCATTTGAGGGTTCTGCAGTGGGATCAACACCTTTTGTAATAAAGTAAGAATGACAGGAATGGGGTCCCAGTAAGAAGTCTTTGGGCTCAGCTTATCAGTTTGGCAGCGCGTGGAGGTCTTTGTCTGGAGGAAATCCTGTTAGAGAGGCTGGGAGATGGGGAGAGAGAGGGGAGGGGGGCAGCTATGGGCAGTTTTAGAAAATAATTTCTTCCCTGTATGTCCGTCTGTCTGTCAGAGACTGTAGATTAAAAGCTTCAAAGTGGTCCTATCTTGTGGAATGTCTTTGTTCTGAGCAAACCCACAGAGCACTACATTTGTTTCTCCACTGGCACATAAAGCAACTCATGGTCCAGCTTAACTTATCCCCTGGTATTAAACAGGACCAGTGACTGTCCACATACGCATCTTCCTCCTTAGTTTACTTATATTAGTATATGGCATTAATGAGTCTCAGTATGGTGCAGCGGGCCTTTAATTCTCTGTTCAACGTGAGTTTAATGCTTAATGATTTCAGCTGAACATTAAATTCTTTCATCCTGTCAGAGATAAATGCCTCTTTGTGAGAGCCTGGCTACACCATGTCTCCCAGTCAGACACGTGCAAACGTGTAAACAACTCACAAGCCTTCATGAGGCCTGCTAATAAAGACCTTGTGGTTGTTGTGATCAGTGGAAACAGTGAATCAGCTGATATATTTTAAAAAAAGTTCCAGGCTTTGTGGCAATAAAAACAATCTAACCTTCAGCTCCAGGAGTGCCACAAAGCTGGCTCATAGATGCCCTGGGGAAAGCTAAAAGCTGGGTTTGAACTCAAGATTACAGAACGCTTCCTGAGGGATTGAACTGAGTTCTTTTGAAAGTTTTTCTTGATGATTGTCATTGCCTTTGTGTTTCATTTTGTCCAAAATCTCCCAAAAGCGTTCATATTGGTGCAAATGTGGTAGCTAAAAAAGCCGTAGGATGTGACTCGCATCATTTTCAAACTCATAAAACCTCTCTGTGACCCATCACACCCAGCGGATGAGAATGTCCAGCCAGAGACTCCCCGGGTAGGAGACTGAATGTAGACCGGCCCTTGAGACGGTGTCATTCACATGCCCCTTTTGGATATTTGATGTAGTCTGTGGTCAGTGGTAGGGATGCTTGCCGTCTTAGAAGTCATGCTTTGCTATGAGGCAAGGAGGTGACGGACTCAAGAAATATGGCTGGAGGCTCTGCGGTGCTGTTCTCAGCCCCAAAGAATTTCACCACCCTCAGTCGGAGATTTAAAAGGACAACCACGGGTTAATGTGACACCACAGTTTTCTCACAGGAAGTGTCGAGTCTGACCTGATGGTTAATGATTTCATATGAAGCGAACACACGAGCGCAGGATGCTGGTTATCACAACAGTATCCTGTGCTTGTGTGTGTGCGTGTGTCCCTTCTGTTTTCAAGTCCTAAGTCTGTGCAGGCGGAATGAAAAGAATGTAAGACTGTGAAACAGACGGTCTCCACCTTCGGGATCCCTGGCTGACCTTCTTGATTCTCTGCTTTTTACTTTACACGCATCTGAGGTTGATTGGCATTTCCGGGTCCAAGAATGATCCTTTATCTAATCCAGCTTTTCTATAAAGGACAGACTATTCCATCTGCGCGTGTCGGGGTTGTGTGTGAGTCTATCGTTTCACGGGGAGTTTGCGAAATGTATGGTGACAGCGTTTTCCTCTTTCACGGGTGGGATTTGCCGCCATCCACTGTTTCTGGGTTAGGGCTTACAGAGACCCTCACTGAGGGCAGCGCCAGAGAGTGTTTGCCCACACGGACCGGCCCTGATGGGCTGACCTGGCTCCTGTCGAATTAACCTTCACGCTCTGATCCCTGATTTATTTTGACTTGAGTGGACGAGATACAGCAGACGCGCTGTAACGCAGAGCCGAGCCTGCTGCGGGGTTTTGTTTAGTGAGAAGATACATCCATGTTTGTGTGGATGTGTGTGCCAGATGGCACCAGCTGGAGGGGTGTACATGGAAAGAAAAGCAGGAAGTGGATTTGTCACCTGAACTAAACGCCTGCTGCTGGTGATGTCATCTTGTCTTACTTTCAACAGTATGTAATTATCCTCTAAAGCATGTGTAAACTGATGGTGTGTTTAGCTCATTTAGACTAAAACCGCTCAAGCTTTTCATTTCTTAAATTACTTGTGATTATTATTTACATTTTTTGGAATGTTGAGCTTTTAAAACTGTAATGGGATTTTCTTCTTTTTTGCTAGAAAAAAGTATGTCTTATCAAGAAATATTATCTTTATACTGAATTCTTAATCTCCAATGAAAGTGAACAAATTTAACTTGAAAAGTGTGACCCCTGAAGTCATCCACAGTCTTAAAACATAAAGCCTCTGTGGTTTTTAAATGGGTCATTGATGGGCCCCACAGTCTTTTCTGGATGATCAGTCAATGGAGCCATTATCTGGGCCCTGTATGTGCATTCATTACAACGTTCAGAAAAAAAATAACATGCTCAGACAAACATTACTGAGAGCTTCTGTACACGTGTGTTTGTGAGAGGTAAAGAGAATTTCTTTCTGTATAGATTTTCCATTTCAGGGAGGATCATTGTGAATATTTTTGACAGATTTTTCATTTAAAAAACCCATACTCTCCTTTTTGTTTCCAGTTCACAGTATCAATATGCTTTTCCAGCTTTCCTCCCCCCCTTTTTTTTCTTCTCCCGGGTCTGGGTGGGATCCCCCAGCAGCAGATGGATTCACTGGAAGATGCAGCAAATCAGACACAGTTTTAGGGGGGAAAAAAAGAGAGTCCGTTTGGCAAAAACAGACTGACAAACAAAAAGGACTGTGTTTGTATCCACAAGTGTGTGATTTTTGTGTCTGTCCACGTGTCTCTGTAAAGGGTCTGAACATATCAGACAGTAGAACACTAGCCTGAGTGGCAGAGGCTGACTCCACCTACAGTATGTGTGAATAATCAGTGGAGCCCTGAACAAAGCCCTGCACCAGGGTGTGGTTTCAGAGGAGATGGAACAAAAGGAAAGAATCACTGATGGGAGAAAGTAAAAAAATCACTTGGTTTCTGTTGCTTCATCATTAGGATTAGTTCTAATTTAGGTGAGAGTTTGTCTCTTTTTATGTTTTAGTACTCAGAGAGAACCTATGCATACACAGAATGGTCCCGATCCTCCAGGGACTCAAACCAGGAACCCTCTTACCATGAGGTCACCACCAACCACCGTGCTGCCACAAGTTCAATAATTTCTACAATCAAAATAGTTGCTCAGTAAACCAATTAACTCGATGTTAATTTTCATTTAGATTTCCCTGTAATTCTTTCTCTATGTAAAACATCTAATATCATATACACTCTGCTTTCCATTTAATTCTTTGATGAAAAATACGTCTTTTGGCTCAAAAGACACAATAGTTTGATCACAAATTATTAAAAAAAAGCATGCTCTTTTTCTTCCCATGTTATACAAACGCATTAACCTGAGGGTCAAAGGGTGTTGGACCTTTCTGCCATGTGTCCAGCCACGTGCGCATCAGCGTATTTTTGAAGGGTCAACACCAGGCTCCATTTGGAGAGCATTGATTAGTACAGCAAAAAACTTGTTGGATCAATCGCGATTGACATGTTTTTGTAAATGGAATGAAGCAGCGTCTGCCCATCATTACATCACTCCAATCACCAACATTGACGGAGCTTCTCGCCCCTGCGGGGAAAGTGTGGTCATTGTCAGAGGCCTGCTTACCACTGAGCGGTCTAAATCAAAGTATTCAAACAGAAATCACATAACTTTATCACCCTCCTGTGCTGGAGTTTTCACCATGCCTCATTTAAAATCCAAAGTAGATTCATCATGTCGTTTCTGGAGACTGAAAACCAAAGAGGCCGGCCTGTTCTATGACCACATCTGGCCGTGTGTTTGAAACTCAAGAACACACCTTTACAACATTACTGGTTGTAATAAGGGGCAACGACAGAGCGTTACTCAACCATGTGGGGTATGTATGAAATCTAGATTCTGTGTGCTTGAAGTCCCCTTTCAGTCAAATGTTTTTCAAGCGTATTTGTAACTCCACCTATAAATACAGATTTAAGTGTTGACGAGGACAGAGTTCGGCGACCCGTCTTTCAGGAATGTCACCCACAATGAAACTAAGACCATAATGGGTCAAAACAGAGGAATGTGAAACCTCTTTTGATGCGAAAACCTCCAGCTCAGCTTCCCTTGAGTGTGTCTGATGTTTCCAGCGTGAAAAAGGCCTTCAGGGCTGCTCTATGAAATATGAACTGGGACTTATTTAAAGGCCATCAAAAACGTAGGTTTTACAAGGGGGATCCAGACACAGGTAGTCATATGTCAACATGCACACACACGCAATTATGAGCACAGCTTTCTACCTTGTTTTCATTTTCTTTTTTTTATATAACAGAATGATGGTGGTTCCTAAGGGGGTGGACACAAGATTTGGTCAGCGGAGGTTTAAGCAGACCTCGGAAATTGATGCTCAAACCATTTCACTGTAAATTTGTCTTGGTATTTTTCTTAGAAGCATCGGGAAAATGGAAAACGACGAGTGAAATGCTTGTTTGATTTAGGAGTCACTCAGGCCAGATTTTGAATTTGGACCAATTTGCCAGAAGAGGGGGTGGAGTTAAACCAAATGTTTAGGGACATCTGGCTGCAAATCTTAAAGCTTTTGCTGGATGATGACATCACATGCAGCACATACTGCTTTTCCCTCAGGCCGTTAGGCTTTTACAAACCTTATTACCACAGCAGCATTGAGCAAGCCACCGATGACCGCATTGTTGTTGAGCTTTTGTCTTAGCTTACGCCCATCCTCAAACTGGACATGGACATCTAGCAGACTAAATTTAGTTCAATTTCTCTAACTGTAGAAGGACTTTTTACATTTTTTGTTCAGATTAAATTTAGGTTATGTCCATAAAATATTTCAATGTTCGGCCTTTGAAAAACAAAACCATACTGGGAGCCTAATATTTGTAAATTTACTCTCATTATTAAGGTTTCTCGATAGTTGATTTTCAAATGACAGCTAGCCACTTGCTAATCTGTACAAAGTAATGAATAACAAAAAGGATAATAAAGGGCAGTCAATATTGGCCCTTTATCGGATGTCCAGAAACATGACATGTCTGCTGCATCATATTGATTTTTAGAACGCGTGACTACATTAACCTTGTGTGCAAAGCCTGGTCTACTGCCACCATGTGGTTGACCGCCATTTGCTTCTAATTTAAATATTATGCTGTGACATTATTTGATGGTATGGACTCAATACTTGTACTTTCTAAGAAACTAACAATCGTTTTTCAGGCTTCCTCCTTAGCAGACTGTCTGTGCTGACTCAGTGGTTCCTTGAAACCCAATGTCGGCCCCCAACCGGGATGGCATTTCCATATGCATGTAGAGCCTTTGATAATGCACTGGGAAGCCACAATTCCAGCCTCCATCAGTATTGATCTGGACTCCGCTTCCCATCAAGCGACCGACACAGATGTTTGTCTGTCCTCTTATCTCATTGCTGGAGCATTAGGGCTCCGACAGCCACAGTGTCTGAAAGACTTTCTCTCCATTGCTTTTGGTTTAGTTGAGGCTTTGTTAGATCTCTTTTTCTTAATCTATCCCTCACAAAAATGTGTTTAAAATGACAGATCTGGCACAGTATCCACTTTACTTGGTTGAAGGATTTTTTTTACAGTAAGAATTGAATGTGAAAGAGAAGACTTTGCGTGGTATGAAGGCAGCGGGCACAGACAAGTAGTGCTCTTTCACCTCAGCTTTACCTGTAAGATCTTGTGGATCTGCCTCTGATGCGTGCGGTGAGGGTCTGAGGTTGTGCCAGCCCAGATTAACATCTCCAGCGTGTTTCTCAGCCTGATCTTCTGCGATAACTTTGCTGAAACGTTGAAGCCGCTGTCTGTTCAACCTTTGTTTGCTCTCACTGCAGACACTGAAATTGTTCAGGAAGTTGTTGTGCTGGTTAGTGAGTCATAACCATAGTCATCTAGTGGAAAACAGGCCAAATGCAATCTGTGGGATATTTGATGTATTTGACCAGAAAAATAAATATTACTAGACTAAAAACCTTTTTTTAACTGCATATTTTTGTGTGTAACAGAGTTGTGCAGCTTTCTGCTGTTTCTAGTTAAATTAAAGTTCCAGTTTTACTAAGCACTTAAAGTTATTACTCTTACTAATGTGATTGAGTCATTTTGGTCTTTTCTGGCATTGCGTGATTCAGATTACGAACTTCCTATTCATAATAACATTAAATGATAATCAAAAGGATTATGAAGTCAGAGTTTACTCTTTGCTTGTCTCTGCATGTTTTTGGTGATACTTTGTTTCATCAATCAGGATCCCGGGGTGCTGCAAAACAAATTCAAGCACAATGAAAAAAAAAGTGTTGATGTCTCTTGATCTTTTGTGCAACAGGCCTTTTATGAAATCAAATTCAAACACCAATGTTACGTTTTCAATGCTGGTTCTGAACTTGTCCAAATGTACACTTTTGTGTGGGCGCGTGTTGTTTCAGGTGATCCATCTACAGAGGGAGGAACTGAGCCGAGAGATGGTGTACCCAATGCACCCCAGCAGCATCCATGGGGTGGAGGACATGTCCACGCTGGCAGAGCTGCATGAGGCCGCCATCATGCACAACCTCTTCCTGCGCTACCAGAAAGACAACATATATGTGAGTCTCAACCAATGAGCACGTCAGTGTTGGCCGCCATAGGTAACCTGGACTGAGTGAGTTTGTTGCATCAGTTGGGGGGGGTAATATGGTTTACATTTTTTGGCGGGGTCAGCACACACAGATAGAAGTGGACCAAAATTCCAACATTAACAAGGAAATTAAATTTATCAACCGAACACACAGCAAAAAAGATTGTGTGAGACAATTGTATAACTATTTTAATGGAGATAAACCCTTGTAGGAAATGGACCTGAATACCATTTGTATTTGTTTTATCTGCACATGTTTTCGGGATTGGCTTGCTAAGGTCCTTCTGAAACACTATCCAGGTTCTATTAAAAATAATCACACGTTATCCATCTATTTAGAAATCCTATCTTCTAATTCCACCTTGGAAGGCTGGTCCAGCCTCTCCACATGGCACTGCAGAATAGTTTCATTGTGGCATGATGACCCACAAACACACTTTAGAGAGGTGCTTTTCCCCAAAGCGCATTATCCGAGCAGGACCAGGGGATCCTGAAATATTAGCAGCCTTACCGCAAACTAGGTCATTTGCAGTAGCGTATTACTGACTGCAGTTGTTTTATCACAGAGGGGCAAATCTGCAGGGCTAAAAGCACTAATTAATAATACTGGAGTGCTCCTGTGAAAGTGCAACTCTTGACAAGCTCTGACAGTTGAGAGCAATTGGAGTTGAAAACAGTTGAGAGCAATTGTAAAACACCCAGCCCACCCATTCATGTCACCATGACATGAATGCTCTGTCATATTTCACCAGTAATCCCCTCTATTTGACTCTCTGTTTTCTCATCTGTTCTTTCTCCATCTTTCTTTTATCAATTTCATATCCCTCAGACTAACATAGGTTCAATTCTGGCCGCAGTAAATCCCTATAAGCAGATAACCGGCCTGTACGACAGCACCGCGGTGGATTTATACAGCAGGCACCAGATGGGGGAGCTGCCCCCCCACATTTTCGCTGTGGCCAACGAGTGTTACCGCTGCCTGTGGAAAAGGCACGACAGCCAGTGTGTTCTCATCAGGTCAGTTTCAAATGGTCCGGATCCACTTCAAATGATGTTGTAATTACTGTGAATTTACAGCAAAATAAAGTCTTATTGTTTTTATATCCAAGAAGTGTATGTCTGTGTCTGTGCGTCCTCAGCGGGGAGAGTGGCGCCGGGAAAACCGAGAGCACCAAGCTGCTCCTGAAGTTCCTCTCTGTGATGAGTCAAAACTCGACCGGTACTCCGCTGTCCGAGAGGACCACCAGGGTGGAGCAGGCACTTGTTCAGAGCAGGTACTGAATATGGCCCAGCATCTGATGGCGGTTTCAAAGATGTCCAGTTTTACTCTGCTCAGATTGTTACCCCAGCTGTACCTCCACAAAGATAAGAAGATAAGAGCACATATTCTTTCCTTTTTTCCATTTTCAGTGCACCAAAACAAGTTGAACTGAAGGGAAAGTAGGTTTACAAAGTGTGCAGGAACACTTTCTTGTATATGTTATATGTTCAGATGGTGTGATTCTTCTGTGATTAAGACTTATTGTCCTTAGTCGACAGTTTGTCAATGTGGTGGCATTATGAGCTTGTTGTTTATCTTCTCAGTATTGTTTGGATTTTTTGTTGTTGTATTTTTACTCCTGAATATTTTGTCTGTAATAACCAATGAAACATATCTAGCATTTGCAATTAATAATAGTAATTATTGATAGTTGGGGCTAACATGTTGTAAATCATCTTTTCAACATGTTTTGGGCTGTTTAAGACCCCCACTGCTCTGACTGGAGGCAGAGAATACGTGACTGAATTGGCCCCTATTCAATTGTACAAAATTTTTATTTTAGCTTATTTGTATGCAGGCTTCCATCACGGGGCTGTACTGTGCAAGACCCATTTTAAGGTTTTCCCAGATTATTTATAAGATGTGAAAGAGGAAGTATCTGTTTGTGATCATGTTTTTTTTCTGTTTGCAGTCCCATCATGGAAGCATTCGGGAATGCAAAGACTGTATACAACAATAACTCCAGTCGCTTCGGGAAGTTCATACAGCTCCACTTTTCACAGAATGGAAATATTCAAGGAGGCTGTATCATTGACTGTATCCTTTTTGAAACATGAAATATTAATTGTAATGTAATAACATGTATGACGTATTGTGTAGAAATGATAGATTTCATGGGTTTCTGTTAGTGTTTTCCTTGACTTTGAATCAACAGATTTGCTGGAAAAGGTAAATATGGGCTGAGATTAAACATTGAGTGATAAGGAAGTTTGATATTGAATGACATTTATGGGAATAAGCAGCACGGACACATCAGTTTTTAACCTTTCTAACCATCTTCTCTTTCTAAGAACCGTGTGGTTAGGCAGAATCCTGGTGAAAGGAACTACCACATCTTCTACGCACTGCTAGCAGGGGCGGACAAAGAGCACAGAGGTTTGTTCTGTTTCCAGCTCGATTCAGTTAGGCTTTTATCAAGTCTGATTGCATGAACAAACTCCAGGCCCTCATGTAAATTAAGGAAATTAATTAAAGCCGGAAAGACTGATAGATATTTTCACAATTCATGACTCTTTTAGGATTATTTTAAAAGGAATTTGACTTTTTTATTTATTTATTTTTACACTGAAGTTATTTTTAATTCATTCTCTGCCTTTTCAGACATGTACCTATTGTCTCAAGGTCCCGAGTCGTATCATTACCTGAGCCAGTCGGGCTGCGTGCAGGACAGCAGTCTTGATGACAAACAGCTCTTTAACAGTGTGATGGTAAGGGCAGACAGCAAAGACAACTTTCTGCTGTATGCTGTTTGTTTGATCCCCAGAGGGCGCCATAGCCCTTTATCTAAAGAGCAATGGAAAACCTGCCACCCTAGAGCTCACTGCCAGAGAACAGGAGACTTTGGGAAACACGTTGTCTGTGTGTGTCATGATAGTTTTGCAGTAATATTCAGAATTAACTTCAAACTTATCGCTCCAACTCGCCTGACAGTCAGCTGATGACTTGAACACGTTAAGCTTTTATGAAGAATTTTAATCGTGACATTTTGTGTACTTTGTTTTGTTTTACAGGAAGCGCTTAAAGTAATGGAATTTACTGAGGAGGAGATCAGAGATGTGTTCAAGTTGCTGTCCGCTGTCCTCCAGATGGGCAACATTGAATTCATGACCGCCGGTGGAGCTCAGATTACCTCAAAAGGAGGTAGAGGGAAAAAATTGAAGCAGGAATAATAACAGATCTTCTTCTTAGATGTTTAGTGTGTTAGACTGACAAAAAAGGAGGTTTTATTTTATCTTGTACCAGGAAACTGAGAGGGGCAGATCCTAGAGAGAATGTTTCAGTTACAGTATTGGAAGCCCAAAAATGACTAAAGATGGTATTCTTTTAAAATGATCAAAACATGTTCTTGAAAGAACGCAAATGTGTATTTAACTATGTTAACTTGCAGAGTTACTTAATTAAATCATTCAGCAAAGTTTGAGAAAATTCCAACCTTTGAATCAAATGAATTACTGAAATCACTCCCACATTTGGAACTAAAACTGAAGAAATCTCTTTGAAAGAACTTGTGTGTGAGAACATGTAGGCCAAAACATCCATTCTCTGTTTACTGAGATGTGGAAAACCCAGATTTATCAAAGCAAAACATGGGAAAACAGGGCTCTTGGAGTTGAAGTTCTTCTGCAGTGATATTGGGCCACTCATCGGTACTCCTTCCACTACGCTCCAGAGTTTGATTGACGTTGCACAAGCAGACAGAGCCCTGAACAGGCTGTAACACGAGCTTAAGGCTCCTTTGTTCGCCATGTCTGACCTCTTTTCCAAAGAACCTGTAAACTATAGCGTCTAAAGAGCGTCACAGCTCAGACAACGGCGTAAGGTTTCCTATGGACTGTATAAGATCACAGACTGTTTGTCACATCTGCTGTCTGACATCAGAAGAGGTCACGTGAACTACACTGCAGTTCATCTGTGTGTGTGTGTGTTCTTTTCAGTGGTCAGTAATGTCAGCGAGCTGCTGGGTCTGGACTCCTTTCAGCTGTCGGAGGTGTTGACCCAACGCTCCATGATCCTCAGAGGAGAGGAGATCTGCTCCCCACTCACTGTCGAACAGGTAACTACACATCCAACCCAACTCTCTCACTTGCTACCCACAGCACAAAACTATCCTCTAAACTCTAAGTGGGTTTGCTCGATCGCATATCTGCATTTCTGCTGTTCCCTATCCTCGCTCCTCTTCCTCCTCAACTGTCTTGGTGACACACACTCGCACACACAGCCCTTCCCCGCCACCCTCCACCACATGCCTCTCCAGATCCCTTGCGTGACTCCCAGCCATTTCCTGCTTTTTGTCTGCCAAATTCCAGGCACAATAAAGCCATCGTGATAGTGATCTGAGTCAAAAGCACAATAGAGCCTATGGCTGGGGCTGAAGTGAGAAGAGGCTTCTCCTCTGGAGGCAGCGCGGCCAGGCACCCAGACCCTGGCGCGATAATTCATCCCAGCCCCAAACGTCCACGCTGTCGTCTGTAATTAATGGGAACGTTCCACAAGTCTTCATCTGCGCATGTTGTGCTTTTAAGCGTACGCCACAAGAGCGTTCCGACTCATGACGGTCTCCTTCTTGGCCGAGCTCAACATACTCGGCCCACTCACGCTCATAAATGTCACTGAATATGCAGCACGGACCTTTACTATTATCACAGGGACAAGAAAGTGACAAGAAAGCTTTTCACCACCAGACAAAGACCTTGTACTGTCACCCTGCTGCTGCTTGTTGTGCCTGGCCTTTGAAGCAGCTTGTCTCTTAAAAGAGTTCATTATTCCAGTCCTGGAGTCTACAAGAAAGACTTCTTCTCACAACGGCCAGGGGTCACTCCCCTCACCATCGCCCGCAGCAGCAGCCAGCTTCCCTAGCCCCCTTCCCCCCCCTTTCCCCCCCCCCCACCATCCTGGACAAACAGCCATTCTTCTCACCACTGTGACGAAGATCCTGGAGCCACTGTTCACACCCGCTGGTTTCAAGAGGCATGATGGATTACTCCAAAGTCTGGGAGCATTGTTGCTCTGCGTACAGTACACACCATCACACTTCTGCTTTGTTTCCAATTCAATCACAGTACCTGCGAAAGGAAATTTGGCTGGCGAGCTCAAGCTTTTTTGCATTCGCACACAGGCGACGTCTGTTTGAAATTTTGACTTCAAGGCAGCTGCAAAATCTGATATGTGCAGTAGCGGTAGATTTGTAAGATTTCCTTTGGAGTTTTATATGCTATATTTATCCACTTTGACGGGCAGCAGCTTATGAAAACACCTGTGCCAGAAATAAGATAAAGTAACAACTTCAGTAGAAGTCTCTGTGATGTAGTGAACTTTTTTACAAATATCTCAAACCTTAAAATAGGTTGGCCATGGGATCCGGAATTCAATACTGACCAATCAATGCTCATTGGTCCGAAAATTCAAATAAAAGATGTTCATAAAGGAAAAGAAATTTTTAAAGCTTAGATAAGTGTTGAAAGTATTCAGAAAAGTTGGTGATGGTTTAACTGGGGTCTATAAAGCTTCCCTTCAGAACTTCAAATACGTAACACATGTTTTGATTTTGTTCTGTTTCTGTCTGCCATCTACCACCGGGTCCCTGTTTGGGTGTGTGGCCTTTCTCCTTCCTTGTATAAAAGCAAAAGCAATAATGAAATGATGTTTATGCCTTACTCTGATTTGCTTTTGTTTTTACTGGACTTTTTTTCTAAATGAGAAAACACCGCCTGCAGCGCATCAGTCGGGAGATATGTGGGCGACAAACAGTGCTGTCTGTTGTGACAACAGACAACAGGCAGACGCTGACACAACACACTCCTGTCTTTGTTTTATGAACACACACCGTCGAGGCCTCACACGCTGCATCGGTCCGGCTGCTTTTAACCACCATCATCTAACCAAACTCCTTAAAGTTAATGTTGACGCTCATTACTGTTTTGTTTACAGATGACAAATTTTTTCTTATCATTTATAATCTATATTTCATTCGATCTCCGTTATGCAAGACATGGTCACCATAGTTACCAGTCACTGTGTTCTTCCTGCAGGCGGTGGACTCCAGAGACTCTGTTGCCATGGCACTGTATTCTCAGTGTTTCTCCTGGATTATAATGAGGATCAATCAGAAGATCAGAGGGAAGGACAACTTCAAGTCCATTGGCATTCTAGACATCTTCGGATTTGAGAACTTTGAGGTGAAAGAACCCTCTTTCTGCTCTCGTTCTTCTACAGCTTCGTGTGGAGAATGCAGACATTTCCTGCCAGATGGGGGACTTGAGGAGAGTTAAAGCAACATTTCCCCCCATAATTCTGGGTGCCCGTCAGAGTAAACAAACACATTAGGCAGACGGTGTCATTAAACACCGCATAACTGCACAGACAACGACAGTTTTATAGTAAAGAGCCTTTTCCATCATTGATTAACTGGTTGTCCAACCACTAGATTGTTTGACTGTAACTGAAACGCTTAATCTGTCTTGCAGTATGATTTTGACTTTAAATCTGTAATAGGGAGTGACATTCCCATTTCAGCCAACAGTGACTAATTTACCAACACGAAAAAGACGAGCTGTTATAGGGATAGCAACTTTGAGGCATCCAGAAAAGTTTTTGATGTTCCAGATTAAAGAAGAACATCTTGTTTAAAGAAAAAAAATACTTTCAGAAAAAAAAGAAGGCATTTGAAGGAAATGACAGGGAAGGGCAAGAAATGTGCACTCAGCACTCAATAAAAATGGTTTATTTCTTTCCGACATGAAAGAAAACTGAGCAGAGACCATTTTCCTTAACCCGTCTTTTTGTCATTATAACTGCATTTAAGCAGTGGACCTCCAGGCTGTTAGCAGTAATCTGCTAAAGTAGGGCAGTTCTGTGGTTTCCTTAAAGACATGACCACTGAACTGAGCTGTGAACCCCTACTTACAGCTTGATTTGTATTCTTTCTTTAACACTTTATCAAAATTGTAAAAAGTTTTTTTTCCAAGGTAAACATTTTTTGACGTATTCTGAACTAACGGCTCTGTAATGGTCCTCCCTCCTGCAGGTGAATCGGTTCGAGCAGTTTAATATCAACTATGCCAACGAGAAACTCCAGGAATATTTCAACAAGCACATCTTCTCGCTGGAGCAGTTGGAGTACAACAGGTCAAAACAAACACGAATGCACGTTCATGTGGAAATCAGCTAACCCTCACATGGGGACTGTCTCACAGACAGTTAGGGCTGTGGGAGGAACCTCCTCAGGCAAACTGCCAGGCCTTTTGGAACTGGTTCAGTTTCTCCCGCAGCCAGTTGTTTTATAGTATAATAGACCAGCAGCCTTCGCATGGCTCATTTAATCACATGTCGTGATGAATAATACAGCCATTGTGTCCTCCTGGTTGTTTATATTTGTATATGTACATGGTATGTCTGTGTGTGTGTGTGTCCTCACAGGGAGGGAATCCAGTGGGAGGCCATAGACTGGATGGATAACGCAGAGTGTCTGGATCTCATAGAGAAGGTAACATGCAGTCAGATCTTGAGAAAGCAAAGTCATCACCGGGTTTGACCGCTAACCACCAGTCAGAGCAAGCTGACCCAGACGCCACACTGTGCTTACACTGACTTCCATTTCCCAGTCTATCATTATATAGTCTCAGTTTGCATGTTGTTTGCACAGTAATGTACACCAGACAGTGGCCAGATGTATGGTTGAAATAAAGCATGACGACAATTTGTTATTTTATACCAGAGTTATAAATGATCTGAAAACCGAGTCGCTACAAAGGTGTGTTTGTGTTTGACAGAATTCCAGAGGGAGCAAAACACTTCCACCGTCTTATTCTTACACAGATTTAGCTACGTTATCATGTTATTACTGCTGAGCGTAACTTACAAATGTGACTCAAAGCATCTACAGACCTTATGTTTGTTCTCTAAACTTTTTCTTGTTGAAGAAAGAGGCAATTTGAATGAATAACTTTGCCTTTTTTTCCGATTGTATTGTTGTATGCTGCCAGATGTGTTCCAGTGGGATTATAACTAGTTTCATCATGACTGTGGTGTGCTTCACCCTCTTTGCTCCTGTGTCTGTCTCCCATTTAGAAATTGGGCATGTTGGCTCTTATCAACGAGGAGAGTCGCTTCCCCAAAGGCACCGACTACACCCTTCTGGAGAAACTGCACAGCCGACATGCTGTGAGTCCAAACATGAATTTTACATGTTTAGAAGTACCGCTTTAACCTTCTGGGACAGACACTCACCGGACCTATAAAAATAACCTATGTCGGTCCACCAAAGCTCCTTCACCTCAGCTGAAGAAATGCTTTCATTACCCGGCAGCTCAGACAGTCTCAAAGAGTTAAACCTCAGTCCTGGCAGCTGAATGGCCTGTTGCATTGAATGTATTGACAGCATCTTGTGCAACTCCCCCCCCCCCCCCCCCACACACACACCAGCACTCTCATATTCAACAATGCTGAAATGTGATCAGCCATTCTCCCAGTCTGATCGGCTTTGTGTGCAAGAGAAAAGAGCGCTCTCAGAAGGTTTGCTGTGGCCAACTGAAAAAACAAGAGAGAGACCTACAGTAGGATAAGAACTGCCTGACCTCTCCCAGAGGTGTTCTCTTTTCCTGTTTATCTCTGTTTCATTTTACAGCTGCTGTCAGGGGATTCTTTTTTTTTGTCTCACATGGTTTAAAAATAAATAATATTAACTTGCTAAACATTTCCATTAGAAAGTGAACAACTTATAAAATGTGTTGTCACCTTGTAAATGTGGATGTTTTTCTCTCTCTCATATATGTTTATATATCACACACACACATACACAAAACAGACAAAAAAATGTTCTTCCCTTGAGGTCTAAAAAAAAGACAAAAGAAAAAATAGCTCAATCTCTTAAAAATGGTGAAGTACAAGGACTGGACTAAAAATGAGAAAAAGAAAAAATATACAGAGTTCAAGAAAAAAAAAGAATGACCTTTTTATAAAGCCTGGAGAGCTTTTGCTCAAGACCATCTCTAAATAATACAAGACATATTACATAAAGAAACAAGTATTTGGTCCAGCTGTTTACTGATTACTCTACATCATTACAGCTATTATTCTTTTATTATACGTTTTAGTTTTGGAGTTTTTCATTCGGAGAGTTGAGTCACACAAAGAAACTTCACATATAATTAGTAATGCTCTGATAAAAGCATAGCTGTAAAAATGCGTTAAAGCTGAACTGTAATTGTCTGAATTGATTTTTCAGTAATCCAACTATGAGCCAACATCTTTCAGTGTCTCAAACCTCTGAAAGATTTTAAATTAGTTACGTTAAATGCAGGAATGTACAGTGATCCAGTCATTTGTAAGAAACCCTGTGCTGCACCACTAAATGTCATTAATCTGTCTGCCGAACTCTTGGAGAACCCGGTGAACTGTCTGCACTAATTAACTAATTCGGCAGACACTGACTTCACATCCAACAAAAAAATTGCAGAGGAATAAAATAGATTTTTTTTTTAAATTAAAAAAAAAAAATTTCTTTGTTCTTTTTCCACCAGACTAACCCCTACTATGTGAAGCCCAGAGTGACTGACCACCAGTTTGGCATCAAGCATTACGCCGGAGAGGTGATTAACAACATTCAAACACACACAAACTCACACACCAGTTCCTTTCGCTCCCAGAATTAATAGCTCTGGGGAAGTGAGGCAGTTGCTGGATGAATCAGGGATCTCTTTTGCCAAAATCTTCTACAGGATGTTGATGTCTTACCCTTTCTTTACCATCCTTTTCCCTGAGTCAGGAGAAAGTGTTTCACTGTTGTCCGGCCCTGTTTTTTACTTAAACGATGGCTGGAATTAGTCCTGCGGTGATGCAAAGGGCCAAAAGAAGATGAGGGCAAAAGGGCAACACAGATTGAATAGGACAAGGGGGTGAGAGGGATGGGATGGGGTTTAAGCCTAGCAGGATTCGCCTTCATAAAGAATGGCCTCATGATTACCCCCTGACAAGGTCTCCTCAGTGTGAGTGTGGCAGCTTGGTCACAAGTCTGGCATGGACAGCTATGGTAATGACCTGGTTCGGAGAGGACAGGAAAGCCAGACAGTTGTTCCCTCTATCTAACATGTCCCTGCAGAGCACATAGTTTTCTCTGAAAGCTCTTTTTGTTACTTGAAATTGTGCTTTAATTAGAGAAATCATTTAATCCCTTCATAGATTTAATCAATGATGTGATGTCGGAGAAATTCAATTAGTTCAAGATAAGCACCTTGTTTGTCAGACAAGAACACATTTCAAAATCGGATCATCTTGATAAGTTGTGTTTTTCTTTGTGGAATTGTGAGGCCATTCGACATAACTGGCCTGAAGTAACAGCTCCATTTTAACTAGTGTGTCATGTATCATCTAGTTTGGATCCTATAGAGCCTCCAGGCACAGGAACACACACATTTGCTTGTGTTTGCACACAGCCAGATTGTAGTTTCTTTTCTTTACATGAAGCATTTTATACCCACCTTTTTTTTTCTGCACGCACGCACACACACAAGCACACACACACACACACACACACACTGGTGAACACACAAACCAAAGTCAACATGTGACTGTTTTAAAGCACACATGCTGTGCTGTGTTTCATGAGGTCTTCTTTCAGGCATTCACACTGACTTTAAAGCTTACGTCATTCACTGAGCAAACATGTGTAAATCTACACTTTATGTATTCTGAAGAAGGCCTATATTTACAGTCGTTGATTTTTATTGTCTGCATCTTTGCATGCAACTTATTTTAATCATGAACACTACTGAGAGCCACATTGCTTTTTCAATACAACCGACTGCAAATGAAGACCTGTTCTTTCTTCCATGTTCTGCTCATACAGTTCTTTATATTACATTAAGCTTTAATGACATTTGTCACATACTTTTTTTAATTGGTTAGTTTCTGCTGCAAATTTGACCCGAACCAGTTTTATAACTGGGTAATGTGTAGCTACGCAGTGCATTTGCTCAGCTTCATTCACTTTTTTATTTTTATTTTTCACACTGTATCGACCTGAACTGTCTGTTCTCACTAGTTATTTTTTCTTTCTCTCACCTCGTTTAGGTGTTATATGACGTACGTGGAATCTTGGAGAAAAACAGAGACACTTTCAGAGATGACATCTTGTTTATTCTTAAAGACAGCAGGTGAGCACTCGTCCTCTTTATGCCGTAGACCTGCACAACTAAACGATTCAGTTCGTATGTAAGTGTCTGGAATCATGGCCCCTCCCCTTTGCTGGCTGTTGTCTCCAGGCTTGACTTCATCTATGACCTCTTTGAGCGCGTTGGCAGCAGAAATGGGGATGAGACGCTGAAAATGGGCACGGCCCGACGCAAGCCCACTGTCAGCTCACAGTTCAGGGTAAAACTGACGCATTTTTTGACCCGAAATGTCCCCCCTCAGCCTTACACCCACGGCCGTGCAACTGTCATCGCGCCGACAACAAGCTAATTGTTCCACTGTGTTGCTCCGTACAGTGATCACTTAGTATTACAGCTTGTTATCCAGGCATCGTAAGAGCAAGGGGCACTGACAGAAACTAGAGGATAGAAATCATTGAGGCACAGAGCAGGAGAATGCTGTTTGTCTTTGAAATCTGCAGAGGATGATGGGTGATGGGCTGTGTGAAATATGTGATGGTAAGCCGGGTGTGGGTGGAGGAGAGGGTGCAGTAGAGGACTTAGTTTAGCATGTCCAAACTGCAGTGTGGAGAAAAAGGAGCAGGGGAGGATTTGGCAGGCTGCCCTGGCCTACAGTTCCAAAAAGCCAGGGGATTTGGGTTGACGGCTGGGCAGAGAGGGGCCAACCAGGGGCCAATCATGCTCAGCCGTGCCAGGCCGGGCCTCGCTGGAGACAGACTGTCTGAAACTGCAAGGAAATCAAGGCTGAGGTTCAAGGACCCTCAGAGTCTGCATGTGTACGTGTTAGATAAGCTGAATATGGTTAGAGTAATCCTTTAAAAGATGCATGGTAACAAAATTCATTTACTAAGTAAATTTTGAATATGGTGAGGGTGATCAACATTACTTTTTTGACTTCAGAGATTTGAGTTTTCCACATTTGGTCCGATTTTGTATCAGTCTGTTTACAAAGTAACAACTGTCTTTTGTAGCTTTTTGTTGATTTGTTCAAATCAGCAACCTTTTGTATGACCCTTGATATTCCTCTTCAACTTCATTGCAGTCCACTTAGTTGTGCTTTACTGAACAATATATTTTATATGATTTAAATGATACATTGACAACAAGCAATCAAGTGATCACTATGTAGGAAATACAGATTTGCTCTTCTCGAATATAGTAGAAGCTTACAAATTCAGTCACGAGCTCAGCACTCCACCCATCAGGGCTTTGCTGCAGAGTATGCAGAGAGAAGCTATTTGTCAATGAAAGGCACATGATGGCCCAGAGGAAGTTTATCAAAACAAACCTGCATGACTCTCAGACAAAGAAAAGCAAAACACTATGATCTGATCAAATCAAGATTGAACGGAAAATGGGTGAAGGGAAAGCGAGAAGCTAAAACCCCACGTGTTTAACATCACCAAAGTTCAGCAGCGTCACTTTTTGTTTTTAAGTGACATGAGCTGGAGGGGAAGTTATTGCAAGGGGACACATTGTTGGAGAAAAACAAGAATTAAGTCATAAATTCTGCCCATGGGTTCAGTTTCTTACCTATTGGTTGATCTTAAGGGTTAAAGTTAGTACAATCTAAGTTCATGTTTTCCCATTATGAAGAATTGTATGTAGACTGATCAGAGAAACAATTAGGAAAAATTCTAAAACTGGATTGTGACTGGATTGATGTAAAATGACTGTTTTAGTTCTCTGATCTTTACCCTCCTGTGGATGATGTGTTCTAGGATTCTCTCCATTCCCTGATGGCTACGCTAAGTGCCTCCAACCCCTTTTTTGTGCGCTGCATCAAACCAAACATGGACAAGGTAAGTCGAAATTTCAGTGCACAAAAAAACAGAAAGGGGTGGGGGTGGGGGGGGGGGGGGGGGAGCTGAAACCCTGCCAGGTCTTGTCAAGGTCAGCGTCTGCAAAGTTAAACCTCCTCAGTGCTATTCATAGCCCCTGTAGCCCCGAGCTAATATTTAGTTGTGCTGCTTCTCAGCCCTTATGGCTTCAGCTCAGAGGATACGATGTTATGAAGCTCATAAATACAATGCTGCCTAAATTAGTCTTGCTGAAAAGTAGCCCTTTCTATAAGAGACACGTTCATTTATAGTACAGTCTTTCATCTATTACTTTGGTGTAATGACTCCCTATGTACTCCCACAAGTGATAGGACTTGGTACCGGCACATTCCTACCGCTTTAGCTTCTTTACTAGAGGTCAAAGGTCACTTATGGCTTCTTCAGCTGCGGTTGCTCAGCTGATGCTCCACTAATCAGACTGCATCTGTGGAATGCTGAAATAAGACCACGGTGCAAGGTCTGTGGCACAGCCAGCAGCACATTTACTTACAAGCCATTAAAAAAACAAACAAGTTATACCTTGTTTTTATCCCCTGTGCTTTCCTGCGGTATTCTCCCTTAACTTCTTATTGAAGTTCACTGTGTAGTTTTGTCCTTTTTCTTCTTCCCAACTTTTACTGACTGTGCTTCATTCCACACCTTCCTCTAGTTTCTAGCTTGCACTTTTCTCCTCTTTTTTCCCCGTCGTGTTGCTTGCTTCCACCAGCTCTGTCCCCCTCTCTCATCTGCCCCCTGCTCTCATTAGCCCTGCCTCACATTCACTCACCTTGCTCCAGCTGGTCAAGATGGAACAAGCCACGCATCTGCTAATCCTGAAATATGACTGAATGGCATCCACAATCCTCTGACACGCAGCTAACACACACAGACGCGAACGCTCTCACGCCGTGTAGCCGCATGGTTGATATGCTCCACCTTTTCTCGGAATGAAAGTTGCAGGGGAAAGGTTCAGCTTATTTTTTCACTCAAACAAATCAGCATGTCAGACCTCTATCAGCTGCCTAAATCCTCTGCTAATAACAGACTTTAGAGCTCAGGGGATTGTGCGCGTGCATAATCGAGAACATGAACAGATGCGAGAGTGCAAGTTTCCACTCATAGCAGCATTAGTCTGTAATTAGATTGACAGGTAGCGGAATGCAGGGGTCCTTCGTAAGGGTTATCCAGTTTTGTGTGGCCTCCGAGTGACAAATGGCCCTCGTGTGGACCTGAGTGATCAGGCAGCCCGTGTAGCAATGCGGCAGACATCACAGATCTTCCTGATTAGACGCCTCGAAGCCGTTTGGTAACACTGAGCAGTGAACAATGCAGCTGAGTATTCCAGGAATAAAGGCTGCCTAAGTTTTAGCTTAAATCTGCTCTGGTTTCACTATAGCTGTTTTTGTTTCCAGTAACCTTGTTAGTGTTAGACGATAGTTTACAGTGAAACTTTACTTTTTAGTTTGAGTTTTAACTTGACTCACAGAGGATACTATTTTAGTAGGTGTGCCTGAAGTGCTTAAGTCTGCCTTAGACTTTCCACTAAATGCAGTAAGGAAGATTATATCTAACGAGCACATAGTTAGAGAGCACGTAGTTGCACATTAAAATGCCAGTTGTACTCCGTTAGTGAGCAGCTATCACAGAAAATGACACTGTCAAGGAGTGTAAAACTTAACTCTTTCTGACGCTATCATTTCATGTGAATAAAAAGGTTGTTCTTTGTTTTGTTCTTTGCGTGTGACTCTCAGAAAGCCAACCAGTTTGATCCTGATGTCGTCCTGAACCAGCTGAGATATTCTGGGATGCTTGAAACGGTGAAGATTCGCAAGGCTGGGTTCCCTGTTCGCAGAACCTTTAAGGACTTCTATGGCAGGTCAGAAGACATAAATGCCAACCGACTTTTCTTTGCTTTAACTGATACTGAAAACTAAGTGTTTGAAATGGATTTATTCAATGCTTTGTTTGGGTTTAATCCAAAGAGCCTAACTCCTATGCAGTGATTGCATTTGTCCCTCCAGGAGAGCCTGTACGTATTCTTCTGAAGGACGCTGCACATTGAATTCAGTTCACATTTATTTATGCCTTTCCCCTTCCAATCCTTTTTTTCATATATCTAAACAGCAGTTAGACACACAACTGTTGCACATAGGAGAGGCCGAGTCTACTGCAGAAGACCAAATAATTAAATCCATAATAAAGAGCTAAGGCAAGCTGTCTGTATCTTTTCTCCACAGGTACAAGATGATACTGAAAAAGCACAAAAACATGGACGATGAGAGAAAGCACTGCTCAGAGCTCCTCACAATCCACAATGAAGACAAGACAGAGTGGCAGCTGGGAAAGACAAAGGTGCAGCATGCATACACACACGTGCTCTCAACCATGCACACGCTCAGACTTGTTTTTGTCACTTTGGAGTGACTGGTAGTGATTCATGCCCCGAGTGCTTTCAGTAACCATAAACACTATCACAGCCCAGCCTCCACTTTTAACTCAACTTTTTATCTCATCCCTCACAGCAACAAAGAAAAATAACCTCGGAATTTTCCCTCCAGTACTTATAAAGTGACCGTATGAACACTACACACTTTTGGGCAGAACTGACCCTTCAGCAAATCAGTCTGTCACCTATATGCTCCTATCCACTAAATAAAAGAAAAAATCAGGAAATCGCAGTTTTTTGGCTCCCCTTGTTTTTACCAAGTTCTCCAGTGGGGGGTTGAAAAAAGATTTAAGATCCTATCCTAAATCTTTCATCCCCTGAGACCAGATATCGCTCAAGTTGTGGAGCTACGGTGACTCCAGAACTGTTCATGTGTTCTCCAGTTGACTCACCGCTGGTGACTCATGTCCCAAAATATTTTCTGAATGGTTGTGGTCAAAACACCACTTCTCTTTCGAAAGCCCCTTCGTTGTTCCTAGAAACTCTTACGCTGTTGCTTCCACACGGTGTGGGGAGTTTACAGTAATGCTGAGGCCGCCCTCTTGTAGCTGAAAGAGTGTGGACCTTTTTACAATCACAAAGCCATCCAAACTAACAAACTAAAGTGGTGTGGAGGCAGACTTAAGTCAGGGCATGCTGCAGCCGAGCTTTGAGTAGACTTGCGAAAAGGTACAATAATGTTACAACCTCTGTTCAATTGGGAAAGGGGGGTGGGGGGGCGTCAACAAAGCTAAGGTAGACGATGTAGATAAAAAAGGTTTTATGGAGTTCTTTTGAAATCAGCTAAAGCCACGCTTGACCTCATGTTCCTTCCTGCTCTTAGTTGTGGTTCCTGCGTGGCTGAGACTTTTCAGATTTACTCGTTCCCTTTTGGATACTTTTGTTGTAACATCCCATTTGGCTGGCATGCCGTAAACAGCGCCAGCTGCACAGATGGCACGCTAGTGCCTACATCACGCCAAACATGTTTGATGTGAGCCACATGTCCGGCTCCTTTTGAATGCTTTAGAGGCGCATAACCACTAATGTGCACATGCCATTGTATATTAGATTTCTCACACATGGAGACATATTTGGAGTCACTGATTGGGTGAAAACCTGCCTCCAGGATCAGCACTCCGACCTTTAGCTGTGTGTGTGTGTGTGTGTGTGTGTGTGTGTCTGCACTGAAAGAGGAGAAAGAGGCCAGAACCAACCCAGAATTGAGCCAGACCTGAGCTTGCGTTTGTGACGGCAGTACATTATTTTTGGGTTTTCGGTGATGTCGTGTCGGTGTTGTGGGCAGGGGGCCGAGACTGAGAAACGACTACATTTCCTTTCGGTGAAACAATCTGTGTATAATTATACGTGTGCTGATTGTGTTCAGGGGAAGTGTGTGCCCCGAATTAAGGGTTTGGGTGATGTTTTGTGGATTGTGTGTGTGTTTGCGAACCGTTTGTTTCACAGATGAGGGAAGGATGTGGACGAAAAGGAAGCTTCCTCCTCTCACAGACTTTACAGAGGCAGGCAGGGCTGCAGCTGTGGGATCCTTTGATTAGTGGAACATCTGGGACACAAACACACACACACTCAACTACTCAAAGGGTCTTCCTCCGCATTGGAGCTGTTGATCCACCGAGCCAACAACCAATTTTGCACTCTCACAGGCACCCACATATTGAGTAGTTAAAAATCCAAAGTATGACTGCTTTTTATTTTGATACTATTTCAGTTCTTCCTGGCATGTTAATCTCAGAGAAGTTGCGGCTTGTCAAATCTCTTGCACACCCAAATAAGTTGGAATAAGTCTGCAGGAGCCAGGAAAGGGTTAACAAAAACTCTTTTCCCCCCTTCCTTCATAAAAGCAAGGAGGGGTGTGGCTTTCTATCTGGACACCAGCCACCATCCCTCCCCCTCATCCCTTCATCACTCCTCTCTGCCTCTCCCCTCCCCTCTCCCTGTGCCTCTCTGCCTGTGCACGTCAGTTGAGCTACCAGCAGCAGCAGGGAAAGGCTCAGGAAGAACGCCCCAGCACGATGAGGCTCTGCAGCAGGAGCACTCCCAGCAGAACTGCGGTCTCGGTGCCAGCTTCCCCCCTCTGTTCTGCTCTGCAGGCAGGGAGAGCGCGGCTAGCCTGCTAGCCCGAGCTGCACCACAGCTTCCTCTGCAGCGGGCACAGAGGCTTGCCAGCAGACAACAGGGGCCCTTCACATCTCTGCTGGCCCTTTTTTTTTTATTATATAGACTTACCGAGAGGAGGAACTGACCCATCCTGTCTGTCATCCCCTCTGTGTGTCTCCTCTGTCCCTCCTCTGGGCCGTGGCACTGCTCGTCCTGCAGGTGTTCTTGAAGGAGGCCCTGGAGCAAAGGCTGGAGAAGGAGAGGGAAGAGGTGCGGCGCAGGGCTGGCATGGTGATCCGCGCCCACATCCTCAGCTATGTGGCAAGGTGAGCGGGGGGCGGAGGGCGGGGGGGGGGGATGGAGGAGGGGTGGATGGCTGAGTGGCAGTGACAGTTGTCAATGTTTGTTTTGTGGAAGAGGTATACGGCCTGCGGTGGGATGGGGGGTATGCGCATTGGTGCTGGCCTTTACACATATCTTTTAATCTGTTTGCGTGTGTGTGCTATATGGGCTTAGACCTCGCTCATTTGCTGGTGGGTTGGTCTCAATATACTGTGGAGTCAAATCACAAAAGCTGGGAAACCAGTGCTTTTTAAAACAGAAACATGAAATACTGTAAACTTCTTTTCTGGAAATTCTTAGAGAGTTGTCATGAATAATTAAGTTTGACTTCAGCTGAAGCAAAAAAGAAAAAATCCAATCTGACTCACTTCTAGTGACTTCACTGACTCCTTTTAAACTTTCATTTGTTGTGGTTATGTTAGTGAGTGAAACTTAATTTGAAAATCATTAACAACTTAGTGAGTAAACTGGGTGTTTGATGGCAGGGTATCAGGATTTACTCAGATCCATACAATCTAATGAGGCTCTTTTACACTTACATCATTATCCTGTTGCTTAAAAATGTTTAAAAAGATTACTTCACTTTCATAACTTGTTTCTCAAGTATAGAATAAGAGAAGGTTAAAGTAGTCAAATTATACAATTCCTTTGTGATTGAATTCGGGATTTGGTACTCCACCCACAGAAAGACAAGTATCAGAGGTTCTTAAGGCTACACTATCAGCAGTACACCGATTCTCTAGCTCCTGGGTTACTGATTCCCTTTTTGAATAAATTTGTTTTGTCAGGCTGAGCAGCACGCCTTTTGCCTCTCTGCTCAGCTTGCCAGGATGAGGATTTATCACGGTGCTGGTAGAAAGATCCGCACATGCTGACACCTCATAGGCATTTCATCTGACTGTACTCCACCTGCATGTGGCCACATATAAAGTTACACACAGTCCGCTGAAAAGCTCCGTTGGGAGACTATAATGGTCCTGATGACAGCGTTCAGGTTGTGAGTTTCCTTCCTCTGCGAGTTGCTCATACTGAAGGCAGAGCTGAGGGAAGTTCCCTTTAGACACAAGTAAAGCCTTTGTGTTATTACATGTAACATTATATCTGCTCGGAGTCCGTCCGGAGACTCATGCAGTGATTACTGCGGAGACTAGGTCAGGCTGAGGGTCAGAGCGTTGGAGCGATGTGTGTGGTCCCTCGAAAGTCACGTGTGTTTGTGCTTGTGTATGTTTATGTGCGCGTGTATTCCAGATATGTGCTTGTGTGCGGGTGTTGGGGCTAAACACAGCAGCCCACACCGCCACAATGAAACAGCCCCGAGCTCATCAGACTCTAAACATTGCACAGTTCGCAATGTACAGAGCCTTTTTTTTACCAGGATGTTTATTTACACAGAGAACGCCAGCAGGCGTAATGAGGAGCCCACGTAGAGCCGTGACACTTAGATATGTTCAGAAAGAAAGTCTGAACTTCTGATTTATTTATTTTTTACCCCGACAGGAAACAATACAAGCGGGTTCTGTCCAGCGTCGTCACCATCCAGAAGAACTATCGCGCTCACTTTTGGAGGCGCGTCTTCCTGCGCCTGCGTGTGGCGGCCGTCATCCTCCAGAAGCATCGCCGAGGCCAGCTCGCCCGATCCCTCTGTTGCCAGCTCAAGGAGGAGAGGCAGAAACGGGAGGAGGAGGAGAGAAAGAAGAGAGAGGAGGAAGAAGAAAGGAGGCGAGTAGAGGAGGAGAGAAGGAGGATGGAGGAGAGAAAGCAACTGGAGGAGCAGAGGAGAAAGGAGGAGGAAGAGCAACAGAGATTGAAAGACGAGGAGCTTAAGAGGAGGGCAGAGGAGGAGGAGGAGGAGGAGCAGAGACTTATTAAGGAAAGGGAGGATGAGCAGAAATTGGCAGCCAAAGGGGACAGAACACGGTATAGTGAGGTTTTGTTAATTATGGCAGGTCATGTGACTTTCTGTAGGTCGTGACTAATTCGTTCACTGTTTTGTCTTTAGGAACTCACTGTTGAATGGTGCTTGTCCAAAGGTAACTCCACTTTCAAATCTAAAAGAAGTTATACAAAAAACAATAAAATATGAGCTGTGAACCACTGTGTGAATCCTAATTTCTGCTCTTCCTTTGGTCAACAGAAGGATCTGTCCCAGACTCTGTCTAACAGCCACACCTCCGAGGAGGAGAGTCGTCAGATGGAGGAGATCCTGCGGCTGGAGAGGGAGATCGAGCGGCTTCAGAAGCAGCAGGAAGACGGCGTGTCCCTCCTCGGGGACGTCTCCCGGGACGAGCTGCGTCAAATGAGGGATGCTGAGATCTACAGACTGGAGAAGGAGGCCTCCCGCGTGGCCACAGAGTTCCTGGAGCTGCTGGACTTTGGTGGCTTGGAGCCATCGCTGTCCAGCGAGGAGAACCTCCACGACCCAACAGAATCTACAGCTCCTCTGGCTGAGGAGGAGGTGGACGAGGGTTTCCATGCTGACGAAGAGTGCATCCCTTTACCAGACTTCCCTCCCCCGGCTTCGGTTCCTCTTGAAAAGGAAGTATTTCAAAGCATTCCCCCTCCTCCGCCTGCATTTGCAGAGGGACAACTGCTTTCCCCATCCTCAGCTACTCCTCCTGCAGCGGCAAAGCTCGCCCCTGTTGTCTCCAATGGACTCAATCGAGCCCCGCTTCTTACAGACTCCCAGCCTCTCCCGTACCAGCCTCTCCATCCTATAGTAATTAACGGAGAAAGGCGTCCATGCCAGAGAACCAGCCGGGCGTCAGACTTTGAGCCAGTGAAAGAAGAGCCGTCCCACACGAACCTACCAGACGCCGAGTCGGACTATGACCAGGACGAGTTCGAGGAGGCTCACGGGAGCTCAGGTGCTAGCACCAACGATGGCCAAATAACAGATGACGAAGTGCTGGGAAGATCCTCCTGCACCCAGAACAGCCTCGACTCCTTTAGAGGCAGCTCAGACTCGGTGAGAAATGAGCTGTGAATCGTTTTGCCGTTCAGCTGACTTCCTCAGAGCTGCACTCTCCTAAAATAATAATAATAATAATAATTTAGACAAATTACACATGAATGCTGATGGATTTTGTTCCTCAGTTTGACCTGATCATTCATTGTTCTCGCACACACGTGCATGGCTAAATTTGGTCTGTGTGTTATGCCTCCCACTCGATGACCTCAACGCAGATGGTGCTGGTTATGTAGTCTGTTAGAATATGCATTATCCGGACATCAAGCTCACATTAGAATAGCGATGAAAGAAGGTTTAAATAATTTGTTTTGGCTTTGAAGGCGAGCGCCGAAAAAGCAGATACTGTAAGTTGAGCAGAGAGCTGAGGCTAAACACTGCCAGATCAGCAAAATGTCAACAGGGAAGAAAGATGGTGTATGTGTTGGCATGCCCTGTGTGTGTGTCAGTGTGGGTGTGTATGGACTAGTTTTAAGTATGATTGGTCAGACAGAATCTAGGCACTGAAATTGCAGAATAGCATTTGCTTACATGAGCTGCTTAGATGAATTGCTTATAAACCTGCTTTTTTAAAATATTGTTATTGCTACATTTGAAGTGAATTCCTAAAGATTCCTGTAAGGGTTCAACATTCTGCCTTTGTGTTCCTTTAAGTTCATCGATAGTGACGAGGATAACGATGGCTATGTGGACACGGATGAGGAGGTTTCTAATGGGAGAGTGAATCTGCTGAATGGGAGTGGGCCTCCTTACTTCCACGGCTACCTCTACATGAAGAGTGAGTAGCTGTACCAAATCACTGCCCAGCAGGCATGCAAGTGATTTATGCACAGCTGCGCACAGCTTTTATCTTCAACTTCTTTTAGAAAGGTCTTGCATACTCTATTGCGGTTCCTGTGATAGATGTTTGTATCACTGAGTTTTATGGATCGATCTGTACATTTCAGATCTTTCTCCTTGGAACTAATTCTTATGGTAAAACACATAAAGTTGAGCTTCCTTTTCCCCTCACTTCCTACGCTGTCAGGTGGACTGATGATCCCATGGCGTCGGCGCTGGTGTGTGCTCAAAGATGAGACCTTCATGTGGTACAGAGCAAAGCAGGACTCACTTAAATCCGGCTGGCTTTACAAGAAAGGAGGAGGAATGTCTACTTTATCTCGGCGCAACTGGAAGATGCGCTGGTTCGTTCTGCGCGAGTCAAAACTCATGTACTTTGAGAACGACAGCGAGGAGAAGCTGAAAGGAACCATCGATATCCGTACAACCAAGTAAGATGCTCTTAATTTGTTTTTTACTTCGGTTTTGATTTAATTGATTTTTTAAAATGGAATTGTTCATATATATATTAACTTTTGGTCCTTTTAAAGGGAGATAGTGGACAATCACGAAAAAGAAAACGCGCTGAATATCGTGACCGAGGAGAGGACCTATCACATCTATGCAGAGTCCCCTGAAGATGCCAGGTACATATTCTGTCAAACCCAATGTGGCTGCCTGAAAGTAGTGTTTTACGTTGTCATCGCTGTGTAAGTGATGTGTAGGAATTAAGTTCCCCCTTGTGGTTGCCAGAGGAAATTCACGGTGTAATTTTCAATTACATGTTTGCTGACTTGTACTTTCTGAACTCCCTCTGACCCATTCAGTGGTTGGTTCAATGTGCTGAGTCGGGTCCACAGCGCCAGCCCGGAGCAGCTCATGGAGATGCACCACGAACAGGCCAACCCAAAGAATGCAGTGGTTAGTGTGGTTGTACCTCTCTGCTGCCTTAGCCCCGGCCTCGGCTCCATTTTCTCAGCCATTGTAAAGAAACACTGCAACTGGTTCAGTTTAGGGTTCTATTGTAATTCAATCTTAAGAATCTGAATCTGCAGATTATCTCAGATGTGCAGATTATATCTCTATATCCCTGGCCTCCAATGTTTCTCTCATGGTTCACTCTTTGGTCATAATAGCGGGCAGTTTAAATGCAGCAAATATTGAGATTTCTTCATATTTCTTCATACCTACACATACTTTCTCTTTCTGTGTGCAGGGAACCCTAGATGTGGGTTTGATTGATTCTGTTTGTGCATCAGATAACCCAGACAGGTGAGGCATGTGCGGTTGTAGCTTAGATTTCAGCATCAATTCTTTCGTCTGACTTGATGTATGTGTGGAAAAGGACAAAAGAAAAGCTCTGATGTTTTCTGTATCCAGACCCAACTCCTTTGTGATCATTACGGCCAACCGAGTGATCCACTGCAACACAGACACACCTGAGGAGATGCACCACTGGATCGGCCTGCTGCAGAAATCCAAAGGAGACAGCAGGGTTGACGGACAGGAGTTTCTTGTCAGAGGTCAGTTAGCTGACACACACTCTGGTCTTTGATTGATGTACTTTCATGTATATTGGTAAAAATTTCATATACGTATACATATTGAAGAGAAATAATAATACACAATACCTTTTTACCTTTTCTTTCTGCACCTCCTACTCTCTCTCTCTTTCTGCCACCACTAATTCTGACTAGAGATTTTCCTTAACTTAACAACTTATTGTCATATTGATGATAACTGTAAAATTGTGTCTACTTTGTAAGTGTTTTTGAATAAAAGCGTCTGCTAAATGCATAAACATAAACACCTATTTTTAAAAAAAAGTTTGACATGATACCTTATTAAACACATGGGAAATTAGTTCAGTCTTAGGGTAATCTCTGTCAGTTAGAAATTAAGTGTTGCATCTCTTTTTATCCACAGGCTGGCTGCATAAAGAAATGAAGTCAGGATCCAAGAGCACTTCTCTGAAGCTGAAGAAGCGCTGGTTCGTCCTCACGATTAACTCCCTCGACTATTACAAGTCGTCGGAGCGAAGCGCCACTAAACTGGGAACACTGGTCCTCAACAGTCTCTGCTCTGTGGTCCAGCCTGATGAGAAAATCTTCAAAGACACTGGTGTGTTTGACATGACTCTATTGAGTTTTGGATATATGTTGTTCCATTCTCTATGCATTAACTTTTTCTTACGTTTTGCAAATATTTTCTGTTGTCTCATGTGCTTTGGGATTAATGTTGTTATCTCTCCTTTTTCACCCAGGTTACTGGAATATAATTGTGCATGGGCGTAAACACTCCTATCGGCTTTACACCAAAATGCTAAATGAAGCTATGCGGTGGGCGAACGCCATACAGGGAGCAATAGATAGCAAAGTCCCTATTGAAACACCAACGCAGCAGCTAATCAGGGACATCAAGGTATTAAATCTGGTTTGTTCCCAGCAACTTTTGGGCTGAATGTACAATTGTATTGCTTTATGTCTCATAAACGTGAATGTTTTGTGAAAATAAGGGCTTTTAAGCTATTGTAACCTTCATTCTTTTCAGTCATGCAAACCTTTGAGAGGGATGCATTATGTACTAAAGTGAGGTACATGCACTGTGTGTGGTGATCTCGTTCCAGCTTCAGTTCACTTCTTTTTTCTCGCTGTTCATTCAGCAGTCATTTCCTTGGATGGCTGCAGTGAGGGCGTGCATTAGTAATACTGTTGCTGTGATGTCTTTCTAGACATATCTTGCCTAATAAACCAAAAAGTCTTAAGATTAGTTATTCATTCGAATGTGTGTGTATTCAGGAGAGCAGTTTGAATGTGGAGGCTGTGGAGCAGACGTACTGGAGGAATCCCATCCTGCGATATACCCAACATCCTTTGCACTCCCCCCTTCTACCTCTGCCTTATGGAGATGTCAGTGTCCACTGTGAGTATTCGGCCCTGCATCCCCAATTTTAAAATACCAAATTTAAATATTAATCTTTCAAACCCTATCTCTCAAAAACAATAAGATAGCACAATTTACCATATGCCTATTTTTGGCCCAAAGAAAGCAGAATGTCTTGAAGTTTTTTTTTAATGATCTGTCTTGTTCACTTTTTTATAGCATCTTTTTTTAAACTAAGGAAATAGTTCCATACTGAGATTTTCATCTTATCTTATTCTAAGTTTTCAATCAAATATAGGAGTGTGATGGAACAAACTGCTGCAGAGATTGATAGAATTGAAATAATCACACAGGGACAAGAACATATATGTCTTGATCAATAATTTGAGCCTTCTCTGTTTCTCGCAGTGCAAAAGGAAAAGGGTTATACCAGCTTGCAGGATGAGGCTGTGAAGATTTTCAACTCGCTGCAAGAGATGGAGGCGGTGTCAGACCCTGTGCCAATCATCCAGGGGATCCTGCAGACGTGTCAAGACTTGAGGCCATTAAGGGATGAGGTTTACTGTCAGCTCATCAAACAGACCAATCACGTCCCGCACCCTAACAGTCCTGCCAATCGTGCTCACTGGCACCTCTTGACCAGTATGAGCTGCACCTTCCTTCCCAGTCGAGGCATCCTGCGCTACCTCAAGTTTCACCTGAAAAGGTACACAGGCGTTTGGACGCAGAGCATCACAGCTGTCCAGCGAGGAAAGACCAGCAGTTGGTTGAAACATGTATTCTTTCTGTGGCTTTCTTTCAGAATTAAGGAGCTATTCCCCGGAACAGAAATAGAAATGTTTGCTCATTTCATTGGAGAGTCTCTCAAGAAGACCAAAACCAGGGAGTTTGTTCCTTCCCAGGAGGAAATCATGGCACTGCTCACCAGACAGGAAATGACCACCACAGTCTACTGCCACGGAGGAGGCTCCTGCAAGATCTCCATTAACTCTCACACCACCGCTGGGGAAGTAAGTGACAATATGATGCTATTGATCTTATTTGGGTAGATTATTTTGCCCTGGCAAGAGAGAGAAAACGTTTAGTAGATTTTTAACATGTGGTTGTAATTCAACCTTTCTGTTTTTTTGAGGTGGTGGAAAAACTGATCAGAGGTCTTGCAATGGAGGACAGCAGAAACATGTTTGCACTCTTTGAACACAACAACACTGTTGACAAAGCCGTGGAAAGCAGGGTGCTTGTGGCTGATGTTCTGGCTAAATTTGAAAGGTATATTCAAATGTTATTTTTCCCCAGACGAAGTATGATTTTATTGATCTGTGTTGTGATTTAAACATCGCCCGAATTAAATAGAAATGTGTGTTTCGGGGATGATAATAACAGGAAAATAATGTAATGGGACTTGACAGAAACAGATGTGTAAGTGAAAGATTTCTGGTTGTTCTCACCAGACTGTCTGGCAGTGAGGAAGCTCGGGATGAAGGCCAATGGAAACTGTATTTCAAACTGTACTGCTTTTTGGATGTGGAAAGCATGCCTAAAGAAGGAGTGGAGTTTGCATTCATGTTTGAGCAAGTAAGTTTATCTGGACACGTTGCATTATATTGGTAGTCTTTATGTATTCTTTGCGCCAGTTATTTATTTGCCTCGTACCTCGTCAGGCCCACGAGAGTTTGACCCGGGGCCACTTTCCTGCCCGTGAAGAGACCCTGCAGCACCTGGCCGCCCTGCGTCTGCAGTTCCTGTTCGGGGACAAAGCGCGGGTCACCTGGAGCCTGGAGAGCGTCTACCCCGTGGGCCGCCTGCGCAGCCGCATCCTGCAGTTCACCAAGGTGGGCGGGGCCTCGGGATCGGGCCAAACCCTTGAGCGGCGTAGAACCAGCTTCCTGGACGGCACGCTGCGCCGGGGGCTGAAGACGGGCTCCATGAAGAAGCAGCGGATGGAGGAGGAACAGATGCTGGAGATGTGGATAAAGGAGGAGATGTCCGCCACCCGGGCAAGCATCGTGGAGAAGTGGACCCGCCTCAAAGGTCTGGACCAGCACCAGGCCATGCTCAAATACATGACCTTCATTAAAGAGTGGCCGGGATATGGATCCACACTGTTTGATGTTGAGGTAAGTGTACTGGAATCTTTCTCATGATGTCAGATTGGTTTTGTTGTTAACAGAAGTAATGATATCGATTGCTTTGTTACCAATATTTGATCTTACATTTCTGTTTGTGACTCATTGCAATAACTTGATTTCAGGAGAGAACTTGAACTTGCAATTATTTAAATCTTATTAAAAGCCAAAAGAGATTTTTCTTTTAAATGTTGATGTCAAAATTTAGAAGAAAAGGCCAGTCTGATGTCAGTTTCAAGAGTTTCATCCTAATGGAGCCTAATGAAGGGTTGGATTCTTGCACCACAAAGTGTTTAACTGTCCCTGTGAGCTCTCAACCAATATAGTGTCTTTCTTCCTTCACTCTCCTAAATCCTGCTCACCATAAGACACAACATTAATTTTATTATATCTCCACTAAAAACAGACTGCTACCAATGGAGCATTTAATAAGATGATTTTCTTGGTCTTATTACTTCTCTTAATCAGATCAGTACAGAATGGCCAAAGTGTCCAGGGTTAGACTTTTTTCAGTGTAGTCTCCTCTCATGCAACAAGCTGAATTATTATCATAGAACTTTAGCGAGGTAATGCAAAAAAAATTGTTGTTTATCCACTTTTATAATGTGTCTTGCTGCAATCTAATTTACAAGTGCAGTATCGTCTGGTGAGAGTCACATGCTTTTGTGTTTACAGTGCAAAGAGGGAGGATTCCCACATGACCTCTGGTTGAGTGTGAGTGCAGAGAACGTGTCTCTCTATAAAAGAGGAGAGCCAAAGCCTTTGGAGACCTTCCCATACGAGCACATCATCTTCTTTGGTGCCCCACAGCCCTGCACCTATAAGATCACAGTGGACGAGAGGGAGATGTTCTTTGAGACACCACAGGTAGAAAAAAAAACAAATAGAAAAAATGTTTCTCTCTCTCTTCTCAGTAAGAGTGTTCACACTCCTAAAGAACAACCAGTAAATTAATCAGTTTTTATACATGTGTTTTTAATTCACATCGTCTGGACTTTTGCAGGTTGGAGAGATCACAAAGATCATGAAAGCCTACATAAACATGATTGTGAAGAAGCGCTGCAGCGTGAAGTCCGTTTCCAGTTACGGAACCAACTGGATCAGGTGATTCACTGGACAGGAAATAACATGTACTTGGCAACTATGCACCTGACCCACAAACCGCATGGAGAGGACACAGAGACACAAAGCGGAACAAAAGATTTCAACTGATGTTGTCTTTAGAAGGTTTTGACTTTAGTTGTGTAGCAACGCAGACATTCTCTGTTAGGAAAGAAAATTTTCAATGGACATAAAAATGCTTCTTTTTTTGTCGTTTTGTTTTTTTTTAACCCCAAAAAACATTGACTAAACTCATGAGTGTTGCTTCCGTCCATGCAGTCTCCATACATGTCCTCTTCTCTCTACACTGGTCCCCTCTCACTTGTTGCTTGAAAAGGAATTCAGGTATCTTAAAAGTTTTTAGTTTTTAAAGTCAGTCAGGAGAAAGTTACCCTTTGCATTTAAATTTCCAAAGTTGAAACATTCTCTCCAATGCCACAGAATCTATATGAATGTGTTACAGTGGCAAAAGCACACTGACTTAGTTGGCACCTTTATTTAAAATGTGTATGCATTTGTTTTATCTGTAAAACATCGTGGCTCAGTAAAATGAATGTTCTCCCGACTGGAGATTCCCTCAGGTTATTGCTTACAAAAATGCCCCCTATCTTGCCTTATTTAAACATTGCCCACTTGGAGAGGAATTGTGGCCTTGAAGGAGCAGAATATAAACTGGTGTGTGGTTATTCCCATGTGTGCCATAGAAGCACCTTTCTAACACAAATTTAGAAAACTTCTTATAAGTCAACGGAATTGCAGCAATTGGGGACATTGGATAAGACAACCCACTGCATCACTGGAGATGCAGTACCTATACACTTATTTCAAGGTATTCATTCTGAAAATCAAGTCTGACTGTTTTTGCTTCTATTCCAGAGCAAGTAATCCATGTGGGGCTGATCTCGTGGTGTGTGTGTGAGCTGAGTGTATTGTCTTTGAATTAGCCAAAACTGATGTTGCATTTTGAAATACGAGAGTGACAGCATTATGCCACGTCTGTTACTACAGTTTGTGTGTGCATGTTTTTTTTTCTCCTGTTACCAATGTCAACAGCTAGGTGAATATTTATTTTCAAAAGAGGTTCGTGGATCAGAAAGATGACCACAATGAAAAGAATGATGTGCTTAGAATGTATTGATGCTGATTTGTTAGTTTTTGTCTAATTTGTGGCATTTACGAACAGAGAAATTTCTGTGGTTCAGTGATAGACAGTACATAGCTTGCCCTTGATCATCTCCATTTTGTGCCGTGTTTCTGATCTTCTGTGACTGTTATTGAAAGGAAAAAAAAGCCTGAAGTGTGTTGCCCTTAGCACCCATGATGCTCAGTTCCTCACTGACCAGAGGACGGTTCCTCGCCTGTCAAGACAGTGTAAACACAAACAAAGGAACATAGCCTAAGCCATCCAACTTTCAGTATAGCTCTTGATTAGGATAATATGATCTCAGTGTAATGAGCTTAGTATTTACCTCACATTATTTCACTGTCTTCCATTGCTCTCCAATCATTGTCACTTGGGCGCTCTGGTCAGCTGCCGGCGGCCAAACCAGAGACTGATCTTGCCACTGATGATGACTGTATTTCTGAGATTTCTGACTGTTTTAAAGAAGAAAAATCAGAAAATGTTTTATATCAGAATTTAAAAATGCTTTAATAAATTATTGTATTTCAAACGCTGCTTGGTATGATCTCTTCTTGTACTCGATCTTCAATGAAGAAGACTCAATCAACACATGAACATATTGCCACTAAATGTATTTTCGGCCGATAATACCAGCTCAAACATCTAACTGGAATTCTAACTGTCCCACCTTCATTGAAACGTTCAATATTAACATATGATACTTTTTTTATTCATCTAACAGTATGAAAATAAATACTACTTCTCATATGAATGACTTGATTGTGTTTTAAGTCATATTAATCAAATGCAACACTATTATAGAGTAAAACAGTTCGGGTTGTGTATATCAATATGCAGTAATGTGTATTTGGATTCATGTATTCATTTAGAAACTTAGTAATTCTATCCAAGCCATTTGCCAAAGGATAACTTTTAAATAAAAAACAAAAGTCTGAAAAAACTAAATAAATGGTATGCCTCACCATATGCAAAATGAATGATAGTTTTAACTGGCTAAAATGAGCTTTTTTGGTGAATTTTTGTCCTTCCTCATTATCTGAGACGTATCACTCCGCAGCTGTTTCACGCCTCAGCGTCAGCAGTTGGTGACGTCATTGCCAGTACCAGCTCCAGCCCTCGCTTTGACTCCTCTCAAATCTTTCCTCCGCGCCGTTGACACTTTGCTGGCGGCCCAACATGTTGAGGCTACTGGCTTCCCCGGCATCCATTCTTGCCATATTTTCGTGGTGCGCTTTGATAACCGCGACAGCAGCACAGACACCAACTCCTACTCCGGCTCCCGGTAAGTTTTCTGTCTGTTGGGCTTTGTTTCCAACGGTCAACCGTTGGGTCAGGAGGCGGTCACGTGACAGCAGCCTTACCCAAAGGGGCAAAGATAATCAGTTCTCGATTCGGGTCTCGCTCATTAAGTCTATCCAATTTGTCATATTCCTCAAATATCCCACTTTTGGTTACTTTTTTTTGTCGTGTGTCCAGTGACACGGTGAGAGCTGGGTGCGTCCAGGAGTTTGTAAAAAAAAAAAAAAAAAAAGTTTCATTCTTTACGCAACATCTGTTTCAGTTCCTTGCAGTAAGTCCAACAGCAGCTGTGAAGAATGCCTGCAGAACGTCGCAGTAAGTTTCCCACAGCGGAAGTGCCGCGTCCAGCTAGTGCTGTTCATCGTGGAGATTTCTTTTTCCTCTGTTTGTTGCAGTGTCTGTGGTGCATTCCCACCAAACAGTGTGTGGATTACCCGGTGAAGAACATCCTGCCCCCCAGCAGCATCTGTCCTCTCAGTGATGCACGATGGGGGGTTTGCTGGGGTAAGACGTTTTGTGATGCCACATCTGGATGTGCGTGTGTTTAAGGAATTGTGTTTAGGGTTGGTGATGGTCTCTTGTCACAGCCACTTATTTCTTGTGATTGTCCTTTCCATTTTGTAACTGAGGCTTGTTCAGTGGGTTTGAGGGGGGAAAAAAGCCTGTTCAGTCGGTTCTTTTGTACGGACGGATGCAGGAATTTGTTCTTTTACCATTATTTATCACTACCTTTTAGACAGTTTCAATGTCATACAACTAATGTATAGAATCAGTGCTATAAATAAATGGTAATGGTATACTTACAAGTTTGGTAATTGTCCACAAACAAACAATCTGCCAGGATTCAAACCATTACTCAGGTAGAGATCATATGATTTTTTCTTGGGACCATTATTGGATTTTCAGCTTTTCTTTCTTGGTTTCTAGTCAATTTTCAGATACTGATCATCACAATGTCAGTTCTGGCCGGTGTCATCCTCATTGCTGTTCTTGTTTGCTGTTTCTGCTGCTGCAAGTGTGAAAGAATTGGGTAAGCTTTGAGCCAGAAGAGGCAAACACTGTGAAATCTGGTTTAGCCGAGGAGGAGGGGTTGGGGTACTTGGAGGGAGGGGGGGGGGGGGGGGGGGGGGGGGAGGGGGGGGGGTTGGGGGAGGGGGGGGGGGGGGGGGGGGGGGGTTGGACACAATGGGTTGTTATTCACTAAGTGTAGGCTGATACGGCCATCTCCAAAGGTTAGAGTTTAGCTTTGTAAAGAACTTTCTCTCGCCGGGGATTTATATTTCTAAGCCTCATATATGATAGATTATGGAGAATTTAAATTATTGGGTCTGGTTTGAAGCTATGTATTGAGCAAAATATGTTCACCTATTGAGTGAGACCTGACGATTCCTTTAAGAGAGGATTCTAAAAACCATTTTATTTATCAACCTTTGTATATGTATGTATGTGTATGTATTTAAAAAAAAATAAAATATAAAGATTCTTACCTCCACTAAAAGACATAAACCAGAAACCTTTGACCCATTTTGTAAAATGTAGCCCTGGTAAACCACACCATTGTTAATCTTTAACAATGTAATATAAGACACGTCATATGAAAAAAACTGCTCATATAGATAGATAGATAGATAGATAGATAGATAGATAGATAGATAGATAGATAGATAGATAGATAGATAGATAGATAGATAGATAGATA